GACCCGTTGACTAAGCCTCTTCCACGAGCAAAACATGATCAGCACCAAGGCTCCATGGGTGTTAGAATCATTACTGTGTAATCTAGATTATTGACTCTAGTGCAAGTGGGAGACTGAAGGAAATATGCCCTAGAGGCAATAATAAAGTTATTATTTATTTCCTTATATCATGATAAATGTTTATTATTCATGCTACAATTGTATTAACCGGAAACATAATACATGTGTGAATACATAGACAAACAGAGTGTCACTAGTATGCCTCTACTTGACTAGCTCGTTAATCAAAGATGGTTATGTTTCCTAACCATAAACAAAGAGTTGTTATTTGATTAACGGGATCACATCATTAGATGAATGATCTGATTGACATGACCCATTCCATTAGCTTAGCACTCGATTGTTTAGTATGTTGCTATTGCTTTCTTCATGACTTATACATGTTCCTATGACTATGAGATTATGCAACTCCCGTTTGCCGGAGGAACACTTTGTGTGCTACCAAACGTCACAACGTAAATGGGTGATTATAAAGGTGCTCTACAGGTGTCTCCAAAGGTACATGTTGGGTTGGCGTATTTCGAGATTAGGATTTGTCACTCCGATTGTCGGAGAGGTATCTCTGGGCCCTCTCGGTAATACACATCACATAAGCCTTGCAAGCATTGCTACTAATGAGTTAGTTGTGAGATGATGTATTACGGAACGAGTAAAGAGACTAGCCGGTAACGAGATTGAACTAGGTATGGGTACCGACGATCGAATCTCGGGCAAGTAACATACCAATGACAAAGGGAACAACGTATGTTGTTATGCGGTCTGACCGATAAAGATCTTCGTAGAATATGTAGGAGCCAATATGAGCATCCAGGTTCCGCTATTGGTTATTGACCGGAGACGTGTCTCGGTCATGTCTACATTGTTCTCGAACCCGTAGGGTCCGCACGCTTAAGGTTTCGATGACAGTTATATTATGATTTTATGAGTTTTGATGTATCGAAGTTAGTTCGGAGTACCGGATGTGATCACGGACATGACGAGGAGTCTCGAAATGGTCGAGACATAAAGATTGATATATTGGATGGCTATATTCGGACACCGGAAGTGTTGCGGGTGATTTCGGAGAAAACTGGAGAGCCGGAGGGTTACCGGAACCCCCCCCGGGAGAAGTAATGGGCCATATGGGCCTTAGTGGAGAGAGAGAGGGGTATCCAAAGGTGGGCCGCGCGCCTCCTCCCCCCTGGTCCGAATTGGACTAGGAGAGGGGGGCGACGCCCCCCTTTCCCTCTCCCTCCCCACTTCTTTCCCCCTCCTAGTAGGAGTCCTACTCCTACTAGGAGGAGGACTCCTCCTTGGCGCGCCATAGAGGGCCGGCCGGCCTCCTCCCCTTGATCCTTTATATACGGGGCCAGAGGGCACCCCTTGACACACAAGTTGATCCACGTGATCATATTCTTAGCGGTGTGCAGTGCCCCCTTCCACCATAGTCCTCGATAATATTGTAGCGGTGCTTAGGCGAAGCCCTGCAACGGTACTGCATCAAGATCGTCACCACGCCGTCGTGCTGACGAAACTCTTCCCCGACACTTTGCTGGATCGGAGTCCGGGGATCGTCATCGAGCTGAACGTGTGCTAGAACTCGGAGGTGCTGTAGTTTCGGTGCTTGATCGGTCGGGTCGTGGAGACGTACGACTACATCAACCAAACACTTCCGTTGTCGATCTACAAGGGTACGTAGATCACACTCTCCCCTCTCGTTGCTATGCATCACCATGATCTTGCATGTGCATAGGAATTTTTTTGAAATTACTACGTTCCCCAACACAGGGCCCTTGTCCCGCCTAACCCTGTAGCGTTTGACCACGGGATCTAGCCCTTTGACTTTGCACGGACGGGCTTTGACCAGCGGACCTCCCCGCCCGGTTGTGTTAGGTTAGCCCATAGGAACACTTTGGAGCAACAACCGGGCCAGACCCACAGCAATATCCCCTCCGTGTAGACCCAACGCGTCCGTTTCCCCCCTCCAGGTGCCGGCGGCGGTGCCGTCCGTGAGGGGGGCACACCCCGGACATGCGTGCCGGGCGTTTGCAACCGCCACAACACTTCCAGACTTGTGAGAGGCCGCCTACACAAGATTTGGCGGCATGCTAGCCCCCAGAGGCCGCCGGCCACAACCGTAGACGCGCGAAGGGCAATCCGCGTAGAGGGAATTTTTCAGATACTTCTCCATCACCAAAAATTATGAAAAAATACCATCGTTCCTATAGCACTTGTGCCCACATCGTGCAAAAAAACTCATGATTTTATCGCGCTCCGAGTATTTAATAATATTCACGTCGCATCGTTACCGCAGAACGTCTACTACCGTGTCATCCCCGTCCGTGAGGGGGGGCCACGCCCCGAAGACGCGTGCTGCCTCTTCGGACATGCCACCACACCACCCCGCATGTATGAGGGCCCGGTGCGACGCTCCGGTGGCATTGCTACCCCCAGGGCCCCCGTCCCGCCTAACACTGTAGCGTTTGACCACGGGATCTAGCCCTTTGACTTTGCACGGACGGGCTTTGACCAGCGGACCTCCTCGCCCGGTTGTGTTAGGTTAGCCCATAGGAACACTTTGGAGCAACAACCGGGACAGACCCACAGCAAGATCCCCTCCGTGTAGACCCGACGCGTCCGTTTCCCCCCTCCAGGTGCCGGCAGCGGCGCCGTCCGTGAGGGGTGGCACACCCCGGACACGCGTGCCGGGCTTTTGCAACCGCCACAACACTTTCAGACTTGTGAGAGGCCGCCTACGCAAGATTTGGTGGCATGCTAGCCCCGGAGGCCGCCGGCCACAGCCGTAGACGTGCGAAGGGCAATCCGCGTAGAGGGAATTTTTCGGATACTTCTCCATCACCAAAAATTATGAAAAAAATACCATCGTTCCTATAGCACATGTGCCCACGTCGTGCAAAAAAACTCATGATTTTATCACGCTCCAAGTATTTAATAATATTCACGCCGCATCGTTACTGCAGAACGTCTACTACCGTGTAATCACCGTCCGTGAGGGGGGGCCACGCCCCGGAGACGCGTGCCGCCTCTTCGGACATGCCATCACACCACCCCGCATGTATGAGGGCCCGGTGCGACGCTCCGGTGGCATTGCTACCCCCAGGGCCCCTGTCCCGCCTAACCCTGTAGCGTTTGACCACGGGATCTAGCCCTTTGACTTTGCACGGACGGGCTTTGACCAGTGGGCCTCTCCACCCGGTTGTGTTAGGTCAACCCATAGGAACATTTTGGAGCAACATCCGGGCCAGACCCACAGCAAGATCCCCTCCCGTGTAGACCCGACGCGTCCGTTTCCCCACTCCAGGTGCCGGCGGTGGCGCCGTCCATGAGGGGGGCCAAACCCCGGAGACGCGTACCGCCTCTTCAGACATGCCACCACACCACCCCGCATGTATGAGGGGCCAGTGCGATGCTCCGGTGGCATTGCTACCCCCTTAGGGCCCCCGTCCCGCCTAACCCTGGAGCGGTTGACCACGAGATCTAGCCCTTTGACTTTTCACGGACGGGCTTTGAACAATGGACCTTTCCACCCGGTTGTGCCAGGTCAGCTCAAAGGGACACCTGGGAGCAACATCCGGGCCAAACCGACAGCTACATCCCCTCCGTGTAGACCCGATGCGCCCGTTTTCCCCCTCCAGGTGCCGGCGGCGGCACCGTCCGTTAGGGGGGCCACGCCCCGGAGATGCGTGCCGCCTCTTCGAACATGCCACAACACCACCCGGTTGTGGTAGATCATCCCATAGAAACACTTGAGAGCAACGTCCCCTCCGTATAGACCCGATGCTGGTGGCGGCGCCGTTCGTGAGGGGGGCACACCGCGGACGTGAGGGGGCCACACTCCGGAGACGGGTGCCGGGCGTTTGCAACCGCCACTCAACTTCTGTCGCATAGCTATTTTTGATTTTAATAAAATTTAAGGACCTATATTCAAAAGAACATGACAACATATTATTAATGTGCTCGAAAAAAATATAAACTATATATATATTCATAATCTATGGAAAAAATTACAAACTACATATATATTCAGATAATACTTAAAAAAGCATGAAAACATATTTTTTAAAAGCATAAAAACATATGCAAAAACACGTATGTAAAAAAGCATTAAAACATATGCAAAAAAAAATATGTAAAAAAATAGCTATGCCGACGGCAAAGCCGTCGGCATAGATACGGCAGGGTTCTGGTGGGCGCCGTGCCGCGGATCGGTGACGTGGCAACTATGACGACGGCTGCCGTCGGCATACCTACGCCGCGGATTGGTGACGTGGCATGCGGAGATATGCCGACTGCCGCCCGTCCCGACCGTCGGCACAGGTTTGACGGCGTTAGCCGCTCGTCACGGGCGGGGTCGCCGGGCCCGCCATTATACCGACGGCTGATTTATGCCGACGGCTGCTGTCGGCATGTCTGCGCCTAGGTCGACGGCCGTTCTGTGCCGACGGCAGCCGTCGGTATAGATCCATGTAAGCCGACGGCCAATGTAAGCCGACGGCCAAGACTAGGCTGTCGGCATATCTCAAACTAGGCCGACGGCAGCCGTAGGCATAGGTTTGGCCGTCGGCGTATGCCCGTTTTCCGGTAGTGTCGATGGGCTGTTTCAGCGTAGATATACAGTCGCATTACCACAAATATAGCCTAAATAAGAAACAAACATGCAGCCTTTACTGGTTTGGAAATGTGACAACTCATCGGTTGTCACCATCTCATCATGTCATCAATGTTCCTAGCTCATCCGTGAAGCAGAGATGAGGATCGGATATGCACCCCCGTGATGAATTGGCACGGCCAAATCCTCATCTCAACTCTTCTCGTCGCCTATAAAACAGACGCCCCAGAGCTGTAGCAAGGCAGATCACAGACCTCAAAGTTCTCAGCTGTCCTCCTCCAAATAATCAAACACTCTGAGAGAGGGCGCAAAGGTTTTAGGGTGGGTTGCAATGGGGCGGAAGAAGATCGTAATCCGGCGCATCGAGAACAAGGCTGCACGGGACATCTGCTTCTCCAAGCGCCGGCAGGGGCTGTTTCGCAAGGCGAACGAACTGGCCGTCATGTGCGGCGCCCAGGTGGCCGCCGTCGTCTATTCCCCGGCCGGCAAGGCCTATTCCTTCGGCCACCCCTCCGCCGAGGACATCGTCGACTGCTTCCTCCGCCCCGCGGAGCAGGCCGGGGCGGCGGGGGCTGGCATGGGCGCCGCCGTCGTCCCGGACCGGCTGGCAGAGCTGCAACAGAAGTACAACAAGCTGTGCACGGAGCAGAGCGCGGTGGAGAAGCGGAAGGAGCGCTGGGGGGAGGCCATAGCGAAGGGTCGCGCGGAGGGGAGCCAGGCGGCGGCGTGGCTGGACGCAGTCGCAGACCAGCGCGACATGGGGGACGCGGACATGCTGGCCTGCATGGCTTCGCTGAGGGATGCGCAGGTCACCGTGGCGGCGGGCATCAACCAGGTCCTCCAGGACGGTCGCCGTGACCGGGAGCGGGAGGCAGCCCTCGCACCCCTGCCGCCACAGCTACTCGCCGGCGGCGGTCGCTTTGAGCTCCGTGGGACGGGGCAGATGATGGCGGTTATGCCAACGCCAGGGTTCGTGGTCGGAGGCGGGTTTGAGCTCGGTGGCACCAGCGCCGACGGCGGGATGGAGGAGCTAATGACGGTGATCGCAGGCTTCGGTGGGCTTGAGCTGGATGGCACTAGCCTGAATGGAGGGATGGACCAGATGGTCACGGTGATGCCAACGCCGGGGTTCGTAGGCGGAGTGGGGTGTGAGCCAGATCCTTGGTTTGAGCTCGGTGGCACCAGCGCCAGCGGCCGGATGGATGACGTGATGACGGCGGTCGCCGGCGGCGCTGGGTTTGAGCTGGGTGGCATCAGCGTGAATGGAGGGACGGAGCATTCACCAGCGTGGGTTTGATCTGGATGCAGCATATGTATTTCTATTTTTCCCTCTTTGTTTCTCTTGTTGCGGTGCATCGGCAACCCAACATGGTGGCTTGCATTGTTCTGTATCCATTACGCCGAATTAATGAAAATACAAGCCTTTTTTTATTATTCTATTTTACAGCATGATTTTTGAATAGTTTACAAAAACGTTTTTTCCTTGTTGAACCATTGGCTTCTAACTTTCTCATCTATCTAGCTGCTTAAACAGGAAAGATGTCATGGGGAAAATATACCAATAAACATACTTTAGCATTTGTCTATTGTGTCAATCGATGAATCATACTAAATAAATATACTTGTTTCTTACATTAAAAAATACTTGTTTCTTAACAAGAAAATCTCTATAAAAGATCATATGTGGAAACGCGTGCACACACACAAGTAATAGCAACATACATATATAGTCCGAGAAAATGAAGGATAAGAACCATAACATGGATGCTGTTGACACTAAATTTACTGGCTACCCTGAATTTAACCGATAGCTAGTTGTCCTAGATTCGTTGCATCTCATCGCAAGATCAGGATTATTATTTATGGTAGAAAATTAATATGATTGTCCAACAATAAATAAATGGTTTTTTAGGGTAACAAATAAAATAAAATAAAACAGGGTAAGGCAATGCCCGGTCTGCCACAAGGAGTCAAGCTATGAAAGGATTGCACATACGTTCAACATGCTAAGCACTCTTCCTAAAAACATGTCGTAAATCTCAAGATGATATGCCGGCCCAGTCTCTCGAAAGCACTCATAGGGGTAGGGTGGTGTGCGTGTTTGCGTTATAGTGGTGAGTGTATGCGTGTATGTATGAACACTTGCGTCTGTACTGTGTTAAAAAAACATGTTTGCCACTTGAACTTGGTTTTCAAAATGAGGGTAATGACTTGCTCAAAGTAAAACCAGAGAACCATCTCATATTGAACTAGCAAACATAGTAGGCTTAGGTCCAAAAATAAAGAAAGTTAGGTATCATGCATATTATTTCAAAAAACCATGCTGATAAAAAATGATTTGCTAGTGCAAACATACCATGATAATTATTACCGTGCGATGATTTGCTAGTGCTTTCATAAAGGAAATACAGGGTTTGCTAGTGCCAAGAAAAAAAGCCATTCTCAACCTGGATTAAAATCAAAATATACTTAGATCTACTCAACTAAACAAAGTCCGATGTACATGTATCTGTAAAAATCACGTTGATGAGATAAAAGTGTCAGAGATACCTTAAAATTTATTACCTTATGTTAACGTCATCCAGATCCATCTTCCTCGCCATCGGTGAAAGCTAGGAAAGCCATTGATTCGAATAACATCTCTATCGATCTATAATCTTGTGCCTAACTCTAGAATTTAGTTTTAATTATGTTGGGAAATATTTTGAAGTTTCTATTCGTGAGATGGGCTCTTATCTATTGGACAACAGATAAGAGTGCATCACAAGCAGAAACTTCAAAACAACACAACATTAAACATCAATCCAATTAAATTGCAGAGTTAGGCACGAGATGGTAGGTCAGACATACTAAACCTAGATTAAAAACAAAATATACTTAGATCGAAACAACTAAACAAAGTCTAATGCCAATTATATTTGTAAAAATCATGTTGAAACAACACACATTACCTGGTCTCAAATTACTTGTCTTAGATCTGTCTAGATACAAATACATCCGTATATAGACAAATCTGAGACAAGTAATTGGGGTCGGAGGGAGTACATGGCATCTTTCATGTTTAAGTAGCAATATGAGAACGATAGAAGCCAATAGTTTAACAAGAAAAAACACTTTTGTAAACTATTAAAAGTTATGCCAAAAAATAGAATAATAGAAAGGCTTGTATTTTCATTAATTCGGCGCAATGGATACAGAACACAGTACAAGCCAGTATGTTGGATACACGCTGCAACAGGAAAAACACAAATACATATGCATCGTCTCGATAGCTAGCTAGGTGGATACGGGACCGCCTTCTAGAAGCACGATGCATATGACTAGAACAAGACAGAAAATTTCTTGAAGGCATTAAATGAAATTATTGATAAATGATCGAAGATGGCATTGGATCTCTCTGTAGATTGGAGCCATGCACGTCCCTCCACGCTTGTGTTGGCAGAATGAATGGACTCAGGCGGACTCGGACAACTAGTTTCGGATTCGACCTCGTTTTCTTCTTAGTTGGTGAAGTTGTCGTGCGGCCCGGACTTGCGATTCGCCATCTCCATTCTGGCGGTGAACCCTCCGGTGGCATCGACGTCATCATCTCCATTCCAGCAGCGAGCACTGGTAGCGGTGGCAACACAGTCAGCGTCTGATGCTGATGTTGCATCTCCATTCCGGCGGTGAACCCCGACGGGGTTGGCATCCCTGACATCATCTGCTATTGCATACTCTCCATTCCAACAGCGAACCCTGAGGTGGTGGCATCGCCATCATCATCATCTGCTGCTTAATCATCATGTGCACCCCTCCGTCCACGCTGGTGCCACCGAACTCAACGCCATAGCCGTCGGCGAGCCACGCCAGCTGTGGCATTGCCGTAATCATATGCTGCTGATGAAAGTTCTCCTCCATCCCGCCATTCGCACTGGTGCAACCGAGCTCAAACTCACCGCCGCCGGCGATCGCCGTCATCATCTCCTCCGGTGAATCGCCAGCGGCGGTGGGTTTAATCTCGATTGCACTAGCGCGAATGGCGGGATGGAAGAGAACTTTTAGCAACAACAGATGATGATGGCCATGCCACATCTGCCGGGGCTCGCCAGCGGGTATGGGTTTGAGCTCGGCGGCACCAGTGCGGACAGAGGGATGTACGAGATGATTAAGCATCATATGATGATGGTGATGATGATGATGATGATGATGCCACCACCTCCGGGGCCCTCTACTGGAACGGAGATTATCCAGCAGCAGACGATGTCGGGGTGATGCCAACGTCGTCGAGGTTCGTCGGTGGAATGGAGATGCAACAGTAGCAGAAGACATTGACTGCGTTGCCACCGTTGCTGGTGTTTGCCACTGGAACGGAGATGATGACGTCGCCACTGGCTCCGGGGTTCACCGCTGGAATGGAGATGATGCATCAAGAGCCCGGGCCACACAGCAGCTTCCCCAACTGAGAACAAGATGAGGTCGAATCCGAAACCAGCCGCCCGAGTCCGATTTAGTCCATCCATTCTGTCGACTCAAGCATGGATGCACGTGCATGGCTCCGATCTACAAAGAGATCCAACGCTATCTTCGATCATTTAGCAATAATTTCATTATTTATTACCTTCTAGAAATTTTCTGTCTCGTTTTAGTCACATGCATCGTGCTTCTAGAAGGCGGTCTCGTATCCACCTAGCTAGCTATCTCGATGATGCATATGTACTTGTGTTTTTCCTTTTTTGTTTCTCCTGTTGTGGTGCGTAGCATACCCAACATAGTGGTACTGTGTTCTGTATCCATTGCACCGAATTAATGAAAATACATGGCTTTCTATTTTTCGGCATGATTTTTTAATAGTTTACAAAAATGTTTTTTCTTATTAAACTATTGGCTTCTATCTTTCTCATATAGCTACTTAAAAAGGAAAGATGTCATGTACTCCCTTCGTCCCCAATTACTTATTTTATATTTGTCTAGATACGGATGTATCTAGACATTAGATACATCTGTATCTAGACAAATCTAAGACACGTTAATTTGAGACGGGGTAATAGAAAATATACCAATGAACTTGTTTGGCCTTTTTTTATATAGAAGATACACACAAATAATAACAGCATCCCTATATAGTCCTAGCAAAAGAAGGATAAGAACCATGGCATGGATGTTGTCGACACTAAATTTACTGGCTATCCTGAATTTAAATGATAGCTAGTTGTCCTGGATTCGTTGCATCTCATCGCAAAATCAGGATTATTATTGATGGTAGAAAATTAATACGATCCTCCAACAATAAATAAAGAGATTTTTAGGGTAACAAATAAAATAAAATAAAATTTAGGAAACAAATAAACAGATAGATGTGATGAGACACAAAATATAGTAAGAATTAGACCAAAACAGGGTAAGGCAATGCGAGATGCAGGCTGGGCTTTTAGGCATGCGAACCTTTAGTCTCATGACAAGGGCTATTGCCTCATCTGCCACAGAGAGTCGAGCTATGAAAGGATTGCACATACATCCAACATGCTAAGCACTCTTCCTAAGAAACATGTTTGCCTCTCGAACTTGGTTCTTGAAAAGAGGGCAATGACTTGCTCAAACTAAAACCAGAGAAACATATAACATTGAACTAGCAAACATAGTAGGCTTAGATCCAAAAATAAACAACGCTATGTATCATGCATATTCTTTCAAAAAAAAACATGTTGATAAAATAAATGATTTGCTAGTGCAAGCATACCGTGATAATTATTACCTTACGATGATTCTCTAGTGCTTTCATAAAGTAAATAAAGGATTTTCTATTGCCAAGGGAAAAACATTCTCTACCCGGATTAAAAACAAAATGTACTTAGATCTACTTAACTAAACAAAGTCCGATGCACATGTATTTGTAAAAATCATGTTGATGAGACAAAAGTGTCAACTATTGTATAGATACCTTCAAATTTATTACCTTATCTTGACATCATCCAGATCCATCTTTCTCGCCATCGGTGCAAGCTAGGAAAGCCGCTGATTTGAATAACATCTTTATCGATCTACATCTTGTGCCTCACTCTGGAATTTAGTTTTATTGATGTTTGATGTTGGGAACTATTTCGAAGTTTTTGTTCTCTTCATGAGATGCACTCTTATCTATTGGACAACAGATAAGAGTATATCACAAACAGAAAATTGGAAACAACAGACCATTAAACATCTATCCAACTAAATTGTAGAGTTAGGCACAATACGGTAGGTCATAAAGGAAAGGGCTTGGTAGTGCCAGGAGAAAACATACTGAACCTGGATTAAAAACAAAGTATATACTTAGAT